GGGGTGGGGGGCGCCCGCGAGACCCACTGCAAGGGAGTGGGGGGCGCCCGGGAGACCCGAAGCAGGGGACCTGCTGCACGGGAGGGGGACTGGGAGACCCACTGCAAGGCATGGGGCGGGGGTAAAAGACCCACTGAAAGGGAGTGAGAGGAACTAGGGGACCCACTGTAAGGGTAACTTTTGTGTTTCTCATCACTTTAAGCACCAGGACAGCTCCTGAAGTCAAGTTTCCTCAGACAGGACATGGACAGACATTGTAATGGTATAAAGTTCGGGTTTTAGACTGGCTTCCAGTAAATTTCCCCACCCCCACCTCCTGGGGTCTCTGAGATGTAGGAAGCCAGACGATCACTTGGCCTGCTGGCAGATTTGCAGCGCCCTGTAGATGTGTGTTGGGGGTGCAGCTAACTGTGAATGGCAATGCGCCACAACATACCTATACAGCGCGTTGCCGTAATGCGTGATGTGGTGTGAACGAGCCCTCGGTCACAATTTAAACATGTCTGGGTTTTATTTCTTGGCAGTAGCCGGCGTGCTCACACAGCTAATGACCCTATTGCTTTCCCCCTTCAGGAACTCTGGCAAACGAAGACTTGCGAGACTTGGCTCTAATGAGTTCATACTTCATGTGAAGCCTCGGGAAAAGAGACGTGACTCCAGCGCTGTCAGGCAGCTCCTGCCGAAGACTCCAGAGTGCACCGAGCCGGTGAATCGGCTTCTCCTGGGGACTGACCGGATGATTAATGACTTACAGCCGTGACTTTGTCACTTTCACTCAATTGTGACTCAGCAACTGGAAATGAGATCAGCTGCCGATAATGGAGAGGGATCTCCGAGAGATGGTGAAGAGGTCACATCGCTTCTGAGCTGTCAGCAGCTCCCTACATGGGACTTTTCTCTAGAAGGGCCCTGAAGTCACGTGATTGGACAGTTTGCATGCAGAGAAGTTGCTTGTGCTGTATGGGATTCGGTAGTCATGTTTTTTTACAGTAGCTGCATAACCTTTAGACAGAAGGTATCTAGAGGTCAACTTGGCCACCACAGCTCCAAAATACAAACGTTTATTCCTTATGGGAAGGGTGAGGGCTGCCATGGTGAACCTCATTCCAAAGATACTATGGTTCTTGGGCCATGATGGTGAACCTCTAGCTTCCCCATTTGTGGTCTTGAACTCAAAGTATTGAAGTCAAGTCATCAACTCTGTACTTGTTCTGAGTGAGGGACTACAACTATTGAAGCCAGAGAGTTGGCATTGGCAGAGTAAGCAGTTGGCAATTGCAGCCTCCATGCTTCTCTTGGACAAGGTTTCCCTTATTGAGTAGACCCAACTGTGCAAATTATGTCCCAAGTGGACATCTAGAAGAATCTCAAGGGTACAGGTTAAATGGCCCATTCTCAACCAGGGCTCCCACAGATGTTACGGGTACCTTCCCATTTGAAGGTTCCTTCTAGGGCCATCACCACTTGGCAAAGCCAACAGCATATTGGTGGTCTTCGTGGCATTCTGACCACCACTGGAAGGAGGAGGGCCTTCTCACCGGCCCCTGATGACTTGGCTTTAGGAGTGTTTTCTGAGACCTAAAAGCTATTTCAAGGGTTCCTCTGGGGTAAGAAGGCTGGGAAGTGCTTGGTTAAACTATACAGCCATTTATCTGTCTTGTCTACAGAAAACATGGGCTTGTTGGCCCTCATCTCTGCAAGATATGGATACCATGGCCCCTGTGTTGTAGGACGCTTGAACCTCTACAGTTCTATCCTTCCTGTGCCTTTAGGTCTCTATTGGCCATGCCCTAATTTGCCAAGCTCATACTCTCTTGGAGAGCCAACAAATGCTCAATAAGATGATCTGCTCTTCAAATTTGGCTTTGATGGAAGTAGACCTTTCCAGTCTGTGCTCCTTAACTGACCACAGATGCATTTCAGTCTAGTTTCCAGGGGTTAGGTTGAGCCCAAAGACATCAATGGTATACCGGCACCAACCTCTTCTACAGACCTTCAGCCAGTCTGTCCTGTAGCTCACTTTAACTTTGTACAGCCAGTGGATTGGATGGAAGCTGCTTAGCCAGCCATGTTACTCTTCAACTTCTAAGGTCACTAGGAACCAGTGACGTACTTACTGTTACACCTACAACAACGGAAGTCTCACTTTTATGCAGCCAACCTTCTATCCTGTGTGTAATTGATTCAGTCAGTGTGAATAAAACTGGAACATTTGCCGGGGAATTGGCTTCTATTGTATAGAATAGTCCGTGATAAGAATGTATGGGCTAATTGTTTTTGTATGTCCCAAAGCAGCCAATCGTACTCAATCCCTCACTGAAGGCAGTACAGCAGCTCTTGTATCAAGCACTTAGTTAAAAGGGGCCTATTGTGATATCATGCCTTTGTTATGCAACGCAGTGATTTCATCCATATTGTGTATGTGTTCCAGCAAAATACACTCTACGTTACTGTATTTGGTTGTGACTTACAAATGCTTCCACAGGTGGCACTTAATTTATAGGTATTTATCTATATATTTGTATATATTGCTTATTTGTATTTCATTTTTGTAATAAATATTTATAATGAACGTCAACAATTGGATGTGGTTGTTTTTTATCACCTGTTGTGCAGTAATGATGGGCCAATCGGTTTGAACACTGGATCACAGTAAGTGGATGTTTACTCCTAATATGTTCTATCTGGTGAAGTGTTCCGCTTTGTGGAGTGGTAATGGGGGTCCTTTCGACCACTTTGTGGAGCGGTAATGGGGGTCCTTTCGACCACTTCATGGAGCGGTAATGGGGGTCCTTTCGACCACTTCATGGAACGGTAATGGGGGTCCTTTCGACCACTTCATGGAGCGGTAATGGGGGTCCTTTCGACCACTTCATGGAGCGGTAATGGGGGGCCTTTCGACCACTTCATGGAGCGGTAATGGGGGTCCTTTCGACCACTTCATGGAGCGGTAATGGGGGTCCTTTTAACACTTTGTGGCACAGTAATAGGGGTCCTTTTGACACCCTTATCAGCCAGCATGTCTCACCCAGGCTCCCTGACCCTAATTCATGAACTTCTTATCCATGAGTGTGTGACATCACTTTTACATAAAGGTCAAATGAGGAAATATGTTCATAAAGGAAGGACTATTTTTAGAGCGGCACTTGAGGCAGCATTTATAGTCCACATGTAAATAGTTAATTTAGTACCGTTATGCAATATCCTCATGTCATTCAAATTCGTCATCGACTGAGAAATCCCCCCTTGAATGTGGGTTCATTTTCCTTTTCAGATGGCTAGTGGCCATTGTTTGTTCTTTCCCCAGCTATTGGAAAACCCCCATTGTATTTTCTTCCAAAGGGAGCAGCAAATGTAATCATGCCGCCCCTTGTTGTAGTGGAAAGCCCTAGGGGGGTCCCAGACCTTTTATTTGTGCCCATTGCTGCTACAGTTCCCATAGCCGTTGGTACAGTGGCCGTGCTGCCTAAAAAAATCAGCACTTTGCTACGGCCTCCAGGTGTCCAAGCGACGGTGTACAATTGATGACATCACAGCAATTATCAAGGTATTTTATTCCCAAAATAGATTGGCCACAAAACAAAAACTCTTACATGTGTAAACAGAAGAAGCTTAGAGGCGACGCATGACAAAATGTGTCTGGAGTTAATTTTTTTGGAATGGGGAAATTTGTCACCAGAATACACAAGTGACCACTCAAAAGTTTGGATTTGTCCTCACTTCCTGTCTTACTATAAGAGAACTGGAACAGTGGTAAAAACCCAGCAGAGGTTCTAACGTGCATGCAAATAAAGCTCTGAGGAAGGGGCGTGTCCCCTAAAATGCATGTGGTAGTGGAACTCTGTGAGGAGAACAAAGCTCCCCGAATGTCTTTTATGCCTCATTCACACTAAGAGCCGGCCCGTACAGACCGGTGCAGCGTGCATGGCCGTATCGGGCCGCTCCTGGGAAGGACAGGTGCTGCGTGTGATTGTACGAAGCAGCCTGTTCTCTGTGGTCGGACGCTCACCTGAATGGCACATCCATGAGCGTGTCCGTGCTTGGACGCAGACAGGATATATCCTGTCTGTGTGCGCGTAAGGACTCCCGCACCCACACGGATGAGCAGCTTGGGTGAGCGTGCAGCCGCATACTCCCATAGAGAACAGGCTGCTGCGTACAATCACACGCAGTACCTGTCCTTCCCGGGAGCGGCCTGATACGGCCGTGCACGACGCATGGATCTGTACCGGCCGGCTCTTACCGTAGTGTGAATGAGGCCTAAATCTCTCCTGTGTACATTCACAGCAGCAAAGTCCCCAAGGATTACTAGTCCATTTGATGCTTTTAACCCTTGCTTCTTTTGTGAACACATTTTGTATACCATTTTAATCAATAAAAGGTTTATTTGCACCAGGAAATTTGTTCTGGATTCCCTGACAAACGGGGCAGCCTCTATTGGATTGAAAGAAGCATTCCTGGCTTGGGGAAGGTTCTTCTCTGGCGCTGGTCGGCGTGCTTTTGGAAATGCATGCAAATGCAGCCTGCTTAGGTATGCCCACTCCTCCAGACTGACACCCAGGCATCACGGTTTTTTTGATATCGGCATAACTCCACCTCCGAAGAACCAGTCCGCTGCTTGCATCATGGCTGAGTGTTCTTGAGAGACAGGAAGCTGTGTACAGCACCTTGCCGGCCCCTCCAACCAGCCTTGACCTGCCTGCATTGCACAGAGAAGCACAGGGGCCCACTGGGTATAAAATAAGGTATTTAATAAAAACAGGTTTTCTTTCATCCAGGGGCGTAACTAGAAATCACAGGGCCCCATAGCAAAATTTTGTATGGGGCCCCGTGATTTTTAGTTATACCCCTTGCTTAGCCTACTCGAGATCCCACCTGAGGGTGACCCTGCAGAGCCCACCATAGACTATGGTGGGCTCTGCAGGTTCACCCTCAGGTGGACTAGTCGCACTCCTTACCTGTCCGCCTCCTCTTAGTCCATGGTTGCTGATGGGCCCCGCCTCCTTCTTCGTCACCGGGCCTCGCCTCCTCCCCTGCCACCTCCTCCTCCACTGCCGTGGTCCAGCCTGCTCCACCGCCGCTGCTGGCTCTCATTGACTCTGTGGAGAGGAACGCGCTGCTGCACAGATTACTGTCAGTGATCTGAACAGCGGCGTGTGCGTTTACAGCCGCCAGTGAAAGCCACCAGCAGGGGATGCCATAGCGACCCAGACAGACCGCACGGCATCTGGCCGGGCCCCACTGTGCCCCGAAAAAAGAAAAGGCTAGTTGCACTCCTTACCGGTATGACCCCGTGATCGGGGAGGGGTGCTCGGAATGACTGCGGATGGCGCAGCCAAATACAGATAATTGCAGAAACGTCACCAGCACACCAAATCCTTATAGGATCAAAGTTCGTAGATTTTATTGCAAACTCATGTCAGTTACACTTTATTGTGTAACTGACATGAGTTTGCAATAAAATCTACGAACTTTGATCCTATAAGGATTTGGTGTGCTGGTGACGTTTCTGCAATTATTCCACTGTGCCCCGAGCCCCATATCGGCCGCCTGGGTCGCTATGGTGATTATAAACCACAAGTGGTTGCGCTAGGAGAAACTAAGTGTCTACAAACTCTAACCAGCTGCAACAGTGTATGGTGTAAACCGTGACAGGGTGAATGGCTAATATGTTGCGCTAGGTTGTCAAAATATACTAAAAAACAAAAACTGGAAACAACCTCAGTAGCCTCCTAATTGCTGTGTTGTGTGAATCAATAAACACAAATAAAGTTTGTTGAAATTATTAAATAAGATTACAAATAAAGTGATCAATGAGTAACCTGTGTGTGTTCGTTACTTCATTTTCAGTGAGTAAATAAACACAATCAGTGCCACATATAGCCACCGTATCATCTGTGACTGCAATTTGTATGCGAAGTTGCAAAACACTTCTATGTGATTAGTGTGAGTGTTTTTAACACCATGACTCAGGTAGCATATCAGCAATCATGTAACTGGGTGCACACAGAGGCGTAACAATCGCCAAAGCAACCCAGGCGGCCGCTATGGGGCCCGGGCACAGGGGGCCCCGGCCAGGCATCCCTCTGATGCCGAGTGGGCCGCCTGGGTCGCTATGGCAGGGATCCCAACCTGAAAGAAGCACTTTCAGGGAGGTGTCCCTCTCATTTCCGAGCCTAACAGCAACCCCCGCCTCCTCTCACATCACTGGCCAGCGATCTAAGAGCAGCAAAATTCTGACAGGCTCTGATGCTTCCCCACGTTATCCTAAACTAGGAAAAAGGACACGTTAAAACCCAACTGAACTTTCAGTTTCTATGTTACATTAGCTCATGGACGGGCAACCTCGGCACTCCAGCTGTGGTGAAACTACAAGTCCCATGAGGCACTGCAAGACTGAGGTGTAGCCACAGACATGAGGCAGAGGCATGATGGTTTGTAGTTTCACCACAGCTGGTTGACTACCCCATGCATTAGCTAAATATGTTTCAGATGCACCAAAGCAGGAGGTTTGCAAGACGCTGGCTCACCCTTGGTGTCAAAAGTTGTTATGATGAGTATACTTGCGTCCTAGCAACCAATGATGCTGTGCGGCTCTGCCACTGGTCAACCAATGACACTCAATGGCTGAGGTATGGTCAACCAATAACGCCTTGGGGCTCAGCCACTGGTCAACCAATGATGCTTTGTGGCACAGCCACCAGTCAACTAATAACGTTGTGTGGCTAAGTCACTGGTCAACCAATGACACTGTGTGGCTCAGCCACTGGTCAACCAATGATGCTGTGTGGCTCAGCCACTGGTCAACCAATGATGCTGTGTGGCTCAGCCACTGGTCAACCAATGATGCTGTGTGGCTCAGCCACTGGTCAACCAATGATGCTGTGTGGCTAAACCAGTAATCAACCAGTGACCTTGTTTGGGTCAGCCACTAGTCAACCAAGGATGCTGTGTGACTCAGCCACCGGTATGCCAATGATGCTGTGTGGCTCAGCCACCAGTCAACTAATAACGTTGTGTGACTCAGTCACTGGTCAACCAATGACCCTATGTGGCTCGGCCACTAGTCAACCAATGACCTTGTTTGGTTCAGCCACTAGTCAACCAATCATGCTGTGTGGCTCAGAGGCCAGTCAACCAATGATGCTGAGTGAGCTGCACCATGCCATTATTTGCTAGGACACAGAGGGACGTGGGTGGACTGGCCAAATCATTCACCATTTCAGAGAACAGCTTGGCTTTGGGTCAAACATGTGGTCAAACCGGAACCCAAAGCCCATCCCTGGATGACATCATCTCAGCCTACACAAAGTCACCTGCTAGATCTGGAAGACTGCTTTGTGATAAAAAAAGGTGGAGGTTTTCTGAAAAGCAATATTGTTGATATATATGGTGACACACCAGGAGTTTATTTATACACATTTGTACCGCACTGAGAGGTCCACTTCAAAACTGAGTTGCAGAATTCTGGGGCCTTCATGAGTTGAATCCGTGAGAGCTTCCCCAAACCTATGCAAACAAAGTGTCTAATTCTTCAGAATGGCCTGTTGGTGGTGACCACCCTTCTACAGAAATGTTCTTTTCCTCTGTGCCAAGTTTTTTTTCTTGTCATTCCAAAGTAGTAAGGTGATAAAAAGTGATAAGCCCTGAAAGCTTTCCAAAATTTCAGAGCCTAACTTGCCACAATCAGATCAAAATTCATAATTTACCTGCTTGGAGAAAAGTTTCATGCTGCATCTTCATGAAGTTCTGGAACAGCTTTTGGTATACTAGCAAAAAAATATGCCCAATGTTTGTGAACACCCAACAATCAC